CAAATTTAAATTATCGGAAAAATTTAGTGTGCCATGAGGTCGAAAAACTTCTATAGTCCACACCGATTGCTGGCCACTGACAATCGATCTACACTAGTTGCTTATAATAGAGTCGTCTGTTTATCATCAATCTTAAATAGTTCGTATACATGGCAGATCTTATAAATTCACTGGATGACTGTGTTAAATAAATTATCACATCGCAAATCGAGTTGCCCGTTGTGTCCACTGTAAAATAGCTTTAATTCCAATCAGTCTATCGGCTGAGGATAAATTGACTATCACATTTAAATTTATTTTGTTTTATTTATCATCCCAATAAATGCCTGTAAATCTGATTATCTTAACTAATTTTGCCCTTTCCATTTTTTGATAATGCTATAAGAATAGACTTATCTTTGATTATATTTTTTATCCATCTCATCAGCTTCTTTTGGCGTCGCATCCATTGCCGGTGCTCTTACTCCGCCCCCTCCGCCCCCGGCGCCAAGCAACAAACTTCCATTTCTACCGTTCCGTTTTTCTCCACTCGGAGTTAACAGTGTCTACATTAGTGGTGCAGGTAGCAGTATTGTTGGAGATGCTGCTGCCAGGACCAGGGCTCCATTGACGAGGCGCGTTCTTCGGGTTCCTAATGTTGGAAAACCGAAATTATTTGGCGGCAGTATTGATGAATATGTGCATGCTACCGGACAGGAGATTCCCTGCATCGTACTTTCTTGTATTCGAGTTATCAATCTCTTCGGTAAATCCTAAAGCCCTCTGTACTTAGCGAAATTCAGACAGCAGCTATCGAAAAGAAACATTATATGATTATTTTGCTAGCATCTATTGTAATTGTGTGTAAGATTAGCCTATACTGAAACATTATCTCTTAAATTATGAACTATCTGAGACTAATTGGATCCCAAAGATGATTACAGTCATTTGCCCTCCATTTGTTTATGATCAAGTTTGCTTAAGTTTTATTTTCGAAACGATGTACTTGTTTACATTCTAGCATTAGATGCTCTTGTATCGGCTTTAGAGATCCCACAATCTAAACAATTCGGCCAACTCACGCCCATCCTCTGCCACCTAAGAAAAGTCTGTCCTTTATACCCCAGAATTTTATTTGCTAATTTTTTATGTAACGAATCTACTTTTTGCACTACACTCATGGATCTAGTCAAAATATCGACTGATAAAATAAACTGCTGTGGTTGATAGTCAATATTTTTTCGCGTCAGTTTTTTGGTCCTAGGTGAGTGGACCACATTCGAGGCTTCTCTTTTCTTTATTATACTATTAGAACTATACATTATTTTTACAAATTATTTCTCCATTAACCTTAATTATTTTGGAGAAAACAGACTTC